GTTGATCTCGAATTATGTCATACATTAAGTTGTACAATTATTGGTACAATTTATGTCCCTTTTGTTACAAAATGCCATCATTTCTGGGTCACAGACAAACCCAATTCTCCTTTATCCCCCTCATCCCCATCCCTGAACTTCTTGTATATATCGCCCCTATAAAACTCCCGAGTCCTCGCCACCAAAATCAAAGACACGACCGCCCCAAAGAATGTAATCGACGCAAGAATCACAAAAGCCAACCTATAACACATAGCCCCAATGCACGTCAATTCCTTCACATCCGACCTCGTCATCCCCTTCCTTGCCAGCTCCCTCAACGCCTGCCGATCGTAAAGTGGGCCCGTCACCTTCACGTTCAGCACATACGAACCAAGCGGGCTCGCCAGCTGCCCGCAATTGAACAGAGTCGAATAATACTTCAAACCAAAGAGCTCCGAAATTATCGCGAAAATCAATGGCAATTGGGCCCCGAACGAGAACCCAATTATGACCGACGCCGCATAAACCGAGCCCGGAAACGGGAATGCGATCAGCAAAAGCCCGACGCACGACAGGAAGAGGACAAGTGTCATCATGAGCGGCCTCGGGAATTTGTACTTGGTGAGAAGATCTTCCGACACGAACCCGGCAAAAATCCGGCCGAAATAGTTCCATATACTTAAGAGGGAGACGAACGATTTTATCGTTTTGGTGGGATAACCTAAAGATTCGCCGATTTGACCCAAATTGTCTACTGCAGTTAGGCTTGACCCGAGCCCGCAGAATGTAGCAAGGAACAAAATGAGCATGTCGGTGCTTAAGAGCGCCTGTAGTATGGAGTAGTCTTCGCCTCTGTTTGGTTTGTTGAATATATTGCTAAAACATGACGGCGTCGTTTTGGTGCTGTGGTCTTGGTTTGTGGGGATTTGAGCTGGAATCGGATCTTCAACGGTCACACGAGGGGCATTTATGGAATTTTTCCTCTGGCTCCTGCGGAGCACAGCAGATTCCTCCCTAATAGCGATGAACAGAGGTACAAACAGTAAAGCACAGACCACGGTTGTACTCCCGGCGTAAGCCGCCTGCGAGAAATTGACGATTTTTTGAAGTATCGTCATCACCATTATGAAAATCGCGAGCACAATCGAGACGTAGAGGAACTGGTAGAACACGCGGACCTCGTTTTCCTGCCTGGGAGCTCTAATCGCGCGAATTGTGTACACGAAAACCACGGAGAGGGCGGCCGGCAGCCAGGCGATGAGGAGGATTAGCGCCGTCGAGTCGTTGCCGTAGACGGCGAGGTAAATCTGGGTCAGAATCGCGCCGCTGAGCCCAGTGAAACCCTTGAGCAGCCCGACCACGATGCCGCGACCCTCCGGGAAGTTCCTGACAGTGGTGACGAGGGCGCCGGTGTTGGCGAAGTTCTGGGAGTTGGCGCCGACGCAGATGTAGAGGCACATTTGCCAGATCCGTGGGCGGCGGATTTTTCCGGCGACGGAGAGCCAAATCATGAAGTATCCGGCGAAGTTCATGGCGGATCCGGTGAGCAACACGAACCAGGTCGGTGTAACCTCGGCGATTAGGCCGGAGAGGACGCCGACGTTGGCGCCGAGGTCCTTGAAGAAACCGAGGAGGTTGAGCGTGGTCTGGTCGTAGCCGAGGGAGGATTTGATATCCTTTGAGTAGACACCGAACAAGTAGGTGGCTCCGGCGCCGGCCATTATGAGGAAGGAGGCGAAGAGGGAGAACCAGCGGCCGCGGATTATTTTGATGGCGAAGCTCGGCAGCTGGCGGGGACCGCCGCCGGTGTGTGTTGTCTCGCCCATCTTTCCTATGGCTTTTTTTTTTTCTTGAATTGTTTGTAGGCAGAGTGAGTTATATGCAGCAATGGGTGAGTGTTTATAGTGTTTGTAGAGTGTGGATTAGAATGAAGATTTGGTTTGGTTTAATCTTTGCGATGTGCCCCAATTTTCTGCATCTCCTTCGGTGTGAGACGCATATAAATTTGACGTGTTCGCCTAACTTCTGTTTATTTTATATTTTCAGCTTGCAAGTTGTAATATTATTATAAAGAGAAAAAAAATGAATCTTGAGAGTTTACTTGAAATATAAAATTAAATGTTAAATGCGATTGGTCCCAGACTCCAAGCCTAAAAGGAACACAGGGTGAAAGATAGGGATGATTATATAAAAATATGATTTATTTTTTTCTTGAATTAATAATATACGAATATTGAAAAATAATGAAATAGAAATTTTGCGAGAGTTTTCGTGTTAATTCATAATTGAATGAAAATTAATTGATTGGTTAGAAAAAGTAAAAAAAAAGTAATTAAGCATATAACAATGCTCTATAAATTTTCGTAACTCTTAACTAAGCAATCATATTTTTACATCAAGGCGCGCACGCTTATGACTTATCCGTTGACTACAAGACTGCTAATACATAATACAAACACATTATCTTCAATTTTGAGCAATATATTAATATTTTGGGTTAATTGCAGAAAAAATCACAATCTTTTCCTTAATTGTAAATAAAACTTAATTTTTTAAATTTTGCAAAAAAGTACAAATTTTATTAAGTATTGCATAATTGTCTCAAAACTGAATTCCGGCGAAGGGGCGCTGATATGTCCGATCAAAAAATTGACGTGACACCTAAAATGTAATATTCAGTGTCACGTCATTAGACATGTCAACCTCCAAGTCACACCCCCATTTTCTTAGAAAAAAAAAAGTTATTCCAATCTGTTCTCCTTCTGCGGCTAACGCACGTCGTCGATTCGCCGAGCCGCCGCCTGGTTCTGCTCTCCTCCAACCCTTCCGATTTATTCTTGGAATGGATTGACCAGCCCCTTCCGATTTTTCCCCAAAAGGAGCCATTTAAGTGTATTAATTTTGGAATTAACATCACCTTGATTGCCCCATTATTCCCCTCTTATTAGCGATGATTTTTCCCCTTCCCTCACATAATTTTCACACAACATTTGCTCTCCCCTAGCCTTAGGAAAATTCTGAAACTCTCTCACTCCTCACCCTCTCCAAGCTCTCGAAAATACAGATAAAAAAATCGCCCCTTAAATCCTTGCTCTCGGCCTTGTGTTTCCATCGCCGGTGCACTCCGCGAGGTCACCGCCTTGTGTTTCCAGTTCAGGCCGCCATCTCTGGTAGCCGACAACGGCTGTCTGGAGCTCTGAGCGAGGGCGTGGAGAAGAGGAATGAAATTCGAGAATTTGAGGAAGGAAAAAGAAGAATTTGGGAAGAGGAGAGAATTGGGAATTTGAGAAGTAAGAAAGTGACGGGAAAAGGGAAGAAAAGGAAAAAGAAAAAGGAAAAATAATAGAAAAAGGAAAAATAAAAGAAAAAGTGATTTGGTTTCACGTTATTTTTCCGACTGTCATGTCAGCGTCGCTTGGCCGGAATTTGCTTTCGAGACAAAATTGCAACAGTTAATAAAGGTTTGGTATTTTTATGCTAAATTGAAAAGGTTGAGTTTTATTTGGAATTAAGCAAAAGGTTGTGATTTTAGTTGCAATTAACCCTAATATTTTTATCTACTACAGTATATAATACGTTGTTGTTTTCGCTTGTACTAGTACGTACTCCGTGCGATGCACGGGACACAGATATTAAATAAGTTGTTTTTATAAGCTTTGTTCGTTTAAGTCTAAAAAACAATAGGGTTATCATATGTTTTTCACTCTTTTTAATCACGTTAAGTCTAGAAAACAATATGGTTATATTCTATTTTGCACATTTTTTAATCAGTGTTTTTTTTTTAGTCAGAACATTAAATATGAGTATGTAATGGCTAACTTGTAAAATAATTAATATATTATATTACTGACACATTTATGCATTAAATTAGTACTGAAATTGCATTCGAAACAGAAGGTTCGTGGTCTTGTTCAATGATCTCCCCCCTGAAAAAGAATTTTAGTATATATATATTTATTCCTTGATATAAGAGAAAATAACAGTTTTACTTATGATATAAGAGAAAATAACAGTTTTACTTATTCTTGTTCACGGCCATATAATACATAGTTATTATTTTATTATAAACTTTGTTATCATATAATGTCATTATTATTTATAAAAATTTTAGAAGTTGTACGCCTTCATTTTATTTTTATTTTATATAATAAAAAATATTTAATGCACGTTAGTTTTATTTATTTATGTAATAGATTTAAATTGTCTATAAATATTTTACAAGATATACACACGTGTTTTTTTAGAATTTAATTTTGTATGCTAGTTAAAAAAGTTTGATTTAGCAAATGCCAAAAACTCAATCCTTTCCATAATCTAGATTTTTCTAATTTGCATTGTAAAGATTTATAGTTTATTTATCATACTCTGCAATGAAAATATATTTTACAATAATTTCATTATAGAAAGAAATTAAAAAAAATGATAAAAAAAATAATCATTATTGCCAATATTAACGTTAAAATATTTCACTTTTAATTTTTGACCATTAATAAAACTATTTAATGTATCTGGTCATTATCTCCTAAATGGTAAATTATATTAATTTGAAGAATAATTTATTTTTATATATAACAAAATGAAGCTTAAGAAAAAATTATATTGGCAAAAATTAATTCATCAACTTGATTTCGATTGGATAATTGGATGAAAAAATTCTACGTAATATTTTTGGATAAAAAGTAAATATTTGAAAAAAAATTTAATATTTTGGTTAGAACTTAAAATATGTTGTAATATTTATTGTGACCAAAATATGATCAACATGAATCACAAAAAATCAATCTTATAATTTATTAAAGTAGATATCAATGAAATTATTGTAGATATTAATAAAATTATTTAAGGAAACAATATTTTTATCATATCTGATTTGATCTTACTTGAAAATGTTTATATAAAAGCAATTAATGTATATATTTAAAAAGTTTCCAAACAAAAGTATGCATTAAATGCTCCCAAATTTTTTTACTACTATTTTTAGTAAATGATTATTCTTATTATATATATATATATATATATATTTACATATAATTTGCGCTCAAATGAGAAAGGAGCACAATGAAAGGAAATGAGAATGAATCTGGACTACTAGATACATCATATCAATGACCATGAGGAAGTAAAAATTTAATAAATAATGGTCAATCATTAATGGCAGTATGGTAGATATATGATGGTCAATATATAACATTTACCACCAACTAAGGGCAATTAGTCATTACCTTATCAAACCCACTTACTCTACCTTCGCTCTCCCTCCCACACAAATCACGCACTTCACATACAGGAAGAAACACACACACACACACACACACACGCACACACACAAGGTCAGTCGGCCAACTGCTCTGCCGCCGGCACGGACTGTAGCCGCCACAAAGTCAGTCGGCCACGACGACACCGCCTTCACAGCCCGCAGCCGCCACAACTCCCCAGCAACCCCACCACAGCCACCACAAACCCGCCGGATATTCAACACATATCCCATTGATCGACGACCTTCGCCATCTCCAACATCATCTCTGCCGCCGCCGCCGCGTCTATCTCAAGGTACGACCGCCGGCAAACTTGCTCGAAGGCAGATTCCCATTGAAAAATCGACATTCCATAGAGTCTCGAGCACCCGACATGGATATTATGGGTGAATGTGCGACGACATCCCGACAATCATCAGAAGGATAAAGAACTCACAACTGTTGTTAATATTTTTTTGGAGTAGAATCAAAAGATTCGAACACCGGGTCGTGTCTCTCGAGGAAGGTTAGCCGGATTATTATGAATGTTTATTCAAACACAATAAAAGAAATAAAATTCCTAAACATTCTAATTCAGATTCCTGGTTTGATTTTTGATTAACAACTACGAATATAAAAACACAACTTCAGAAAGCAGAGTAAAAGCAATCAATCAACTAGAATAAGGTAGCTAGGGAATCGGGGATATTAATCTTGATTTTACATGCAATTATCAGGCAACTGATTGTTCGGTTAAGTGATTTGAATAACTTGTTTGTTCAAGTACTCATCCCCAATAACTCTTCGTAACAAGAGAACATACTTGGACGATAAATTAACAAGTCATTTAACGCTTAGGCAATACAGTTACAAACAAGCCTAGCTTACACGAGCCTATTTCGACCGACTCCTCCCCTTTCGGTTCCAAGAGTCGATTAATATAGACTAGAGGGTGATTAATCAACTAGTCCGTTGAGAGTTAAAAACATCAAGCACGAATTTATCGAATTCAATCCAAACAATTGCAAGTTGAAGTGTCACCCTTCAAAAATTCTCAAAACTCGACCTAAATAATTGAAAAACCCTAATAAAAGATTAACTCGCATAAGAAGAACAATCAACGAACACGACAATTACAATCAAAATCAAATCATTAATCCCCTATCCCTAGCATATGGATTTAGCCAATCATAATCGATTCAATATCAACAATCTCAACAATCAAGACAAACATATTCATAGATTAAATGAAAAGAAAATCTTACGAATGATGAAATCCCAAGGTTGAATATGATAAACAAGCTTAATCCGAAAGCAATAGTGAAATCCAAGATCAATTCTATGTTTTATGGAGAGAAATATGAAAAGAGAATGAAAAAACGAGTGAAAGAACAATGGGGTAAGGTTTCTCGTTTCTGTCGTGAAAGAGATGATATCTGTCGAAGTTCCCAATCTTAAATATATATAGTCGCAAGGTTGCCGCGCCGTGACGAAGTGATGTGCCGCGCCGTGCAGGCGTATCGCGCCGCGAGGGAAGCTCCTACCGCGCCGTGCTGGGATGGTCTGCCGCGCCGTGACGGGTTCCTCGCTGTGGGGACGTGCTGAACGGATTCTCTCTGTCGGGGTCGTGGCACAGGCGCGGCGTGTTGGAGTGATCTGCCGCGGCGCAAGGGCATGCTGCGGCAGATCACTATTAGTTCAGTTGAATTGGGTCGTTATTATGCAGTCTATTAGGTATTAATGTGCGTTTCGTATATTAGTATCGTGCACGCACAACGTGTAGTTATATTTAATGGTAATATACAAAATCTTTTTATATTTTATTTATCATTAATATGACTTTATTAAACTTTCTATAAATTACAGATTTAACACATGAACTAAATTGAAATAAATTAAAAATCACAAAATTACAATTAGGTCCTTGTACATTATCTAATTTTTAAAAGGAAAGGCCCAAGCTTCAAAATGGTAATTCTGTTCATTCTCCACGCCCACCCTCTCCGCTCCGTCAGTCTTCCCCGTCGACAACGGCCGGCGTCGCCGTATTTAGCGGCCTTTTCTGTCCAACGAGCCTGCCGGCGAGATCGGCGGTTGTGCGACGATTTTATTTATTTATTTTTATGACAAAATTCGCCATTGAAGTCAGCCTTCGACCTTGAAGGAAGACCTTTTCCGGTGCCGCCATTCTGAATGCTGAAACATTAGAGAAAATTGGTGCCCGCCATGGCTATGACTGAATGGAGTTCGTCGGCGTTTCTCGGAGACCGACTTTCTCGTCGGCGTTTCTTTTGACGTTGAATTCGGAGACCTTCGTCGGCAGGGGATGAGAGGTATGTTGTAGACGAGGACGAGAGGATGTTGGTGCCGTCGGCGACGCGGTCGCCGCCGCTGCGGATGGTCCAGTAGAGGCCCTCCGGCGGTCGAAGACGTTGCCGGCGGAATTGATTGTTCCGGTGGTCGACGGTGAGGATGTACTTACGAAGCCTGTCTCCATAGACGGCGTCGCAGAGGTGACCTCCGACGCCATTGATGGGCAGCCGTCGGCGATAAGCGGTACTACGTTGCCTGAGAATCGTTTTCTTTTTTTTAGGTAGCAGGTGCATGTGTGTGTGTGTGTGAGTGAGTGAGAGAGAGAGAGAGAGAGAGAGAGAGAG